CTGTTTACCATATCTGTAGTTTCACCTTTTCTAGTCTATGATGTAATTGGATCATTTAATATGTAGGTTTTTTTAAGATTGTTTTTTCACTCACATCCATTTAAGATTCCTTTATATCATTTTACAGCTTGATCGCTCATTTATTCCTTTTTATCACTGAATAATAATTCTTTCATATGAATAAACCATAGTTTCCCCAGTTCATCCATTGGATGGCTTCTTGTTTGATTCCATTTTTTTCTTTTTTTTAAGTTTGCTATAGTGTGTATACACTTGCCCAGATGGGAGGTAGGGCAGAGAAATCATCCCCCAGGGGGAAGACCAAGCCTTAGTCCCTTTTCCTCCATTCTCCTCCTGGGATTTAACTTGGGCACATTTGCACACACACCTGGCATGATTTTTAAGCCACCAGGTCTGGGACTTAAACTGAGAAGTCAGCCATGTGAGATCCGGCCACCTTAACCTTCATGCCATCTGCTGACGCTGATTCCTCCCAGTCTTTGACAGTTATGAATGAAGCTGCTGTGAACGTCAACGCACAAGTTTTGTGTGGACTAACGTTTTCATTTACGGGGTACGTGCCTAGGAGTGCAGTCCCCAGGTAAATGGTGAGCCTGTGGTTAGCCTTGTCAGAACTGCTAGGCTGTCTTCTAAAATGGCTGTATCGTGTGTATTCCCATCAGCAATGAGTAAAAGTTCCTGTTGTTCCACACCCTCACCAGCATTTAGTTTTCAGTATTTTGGATTTGCTGTGTTTAAATGATAGCATTTTCCTTTAAAGGTGGGGCCGATGGGAACGCTCATTGTGTTTATTACTGATCTAGGTTTGTTGCCTGCATGAAGCTTCCTTGGAGCGAGCTAGTGTATGAACTTTAATGGGAACTTTGCAACCCTGTAGACCTGAATTTAAGCCATTTGTCTGTTGCCAAACGTTATGTGCAGCTATAGCTAAGTTATCTAATCTGTCTGTTTTTCAGTTTCTCTTTCTATAAACTGAAGATGATACCTAGCACATAGCACTGGCATAAATAACGAAGGAAGAGGGGTCTAAGTCACTTGTATGTAGAACCTGGCACAAAAAGCACCAAATCACTGTTGCTGAAGCAATACACTCTTATTATCCATTAACTGCCTCAAAAATGCACGCACACGATTTTTCTTTTTCTTCTCTCTTTCTTTTATCCACACCATGGAGTGCATGTGCTTGCCAGAGAGAAGGAAAATGAGAAATCACACCTAAGAGGAGATGGCCACACCACAGTCCCTTTTCCCTCATCCTCCTGAGATTCGGGGCACACAAGCACACACCCTGGTGTGATTTTTCAAGCCTCTGTCTAGGATTCGAACCTTGGTCAGCCAAGTGGAGTCCAGCACCTTTACCACACCACCTGCTGGCCCTCCCCTACACACAATTTTTAGAAATTTTTCTATCTACAGAAAAATGCAAAGGTAGTACACGGAGGTCCCATAGACCTGCACCCATCTTTCCCCACCATTAACATCTCACCTTAGGGGAGCACAGCTTTTCAATTAGTGAACATTGAGATGTTGTTATTCACCCAAGTCGGTACTTTATTCGGATTTCTTTAGTCTTTTCCTAATACCCATTTCTGCTGCAGGGTCCCATCCAGGACACCACAGCCCATTCAGTCACCATGTCTCCTTAGGCTTTTCCTGGATGGGACAGCCGCCCGCTTGCCTTTGATTGCTCTGCAGTTCATTTTGATGCAGACTATGAGCTCTCTCTCGCACACTGTGAGGTCTCTGTGAAAAGATTCTTAGGTTACAGCTTTTTTACAAAATCTTTATGGGTACCCAGCTGTAGCCAGCGAACTGGGGGGTGCAGCCCACTCCTTAAGACTTCAACCTGCAGTCTGCCGTCTGCTGTGGTCCCCTTATTTGAAACCTGCTTTTCTGCTAGAAAACTGACCCCGGCTGCCGAGAACCTCCTGTCCCATATCCTGCCCCGTTGTCATCACCTGACTTCTGGTAAATGGTACCCCACTGAAAAGTGCTGGTTGGGCTGCCATCATTGTCTGGACAATAAACTGTCTCAGGAGTGTGGGGGTTGGGAAAAGCAGGGTGCTGGGTCTTCTTCCAACAGTCCCCAAATCCGCCAGTGGCTGGGTGCTAGGGTGTGCCGCCTCAGCAGGTTACCGCGCTATGTGGTTTCTTCTGAGTATTAATAACTCTCGCTGTTTCGGCTCGTGTTTCCTCTTTGACATCACCAACTGAAAACGCATCTCAGAGGTTTTAGTTTTCTGGTGCCAAATCAAAGCTGGTTTATCAGCCAGCCCCCTCCTGCCCCCCGCCCCCGCCAGACTATGGCAGGCTTGTGTGCTTGGGCTGTGCGCTTCCCTTTTGAAATTGGCTCTTTTCTAAGAACTGAAAATAAGCAACCTAGGCTGTGACTTCACTTTTCTTGGAACTGCTTTACATTACAAAAAAAAAAAAAAAATAAGAAGAAAGAAAGAAACACCAAAAGCCTCACTTAGCTGGTTTTGGATTGCTGAGTTCCGTAATTCTTTCTGTTGCATATTCTTGTAAAGCCGAAGCCTTACTGCGAAATTCTGCATCAGGTGAAGCAGATGCACGCTGGAATGACCGTGCAAAATCATGGAGTGTTTGGTCTCCTGGCCGGTTTGGGTATGATCCAGCAGTGCTCCAGGAGAAAATGGAGAGACCTCGTGTATAGAGTTAGTGGCCTGCCAGTTCTGTGGGTCACAGCCCTGACTGAGATCTGCTGGGCCACCATGGGCCAGAGCTGCTGTTGCTAAGCCTCGGGCTGGGGTCCAGACTCGCTGAGTGGCTGCCTGTCACAAAGCTGAAGGAAAAGTGCGTGTTCAGCCGTAGTGACCTACATTAGCAGACATGTTGGAGCCCATGCAAAAGGATGGCCCCAGCAACCCCTGCCTGCTTCGAATAAGGGAGATGGTGACGTGGTCCCATCTGAGGTCTAGTCCTTGTCCTGCTCTTCCTGTCGGATCTTGGCTTTAGGATCCTGGGAACCAGATTAGATGGCCCTCCTGAGTACAGATCTCTGTAAAAAAGCCAAGCCCCAGTTGTCCTGAAATCCTCTGTTGGCATCTCTGTCCCCGATGGAGGGGCTTCCAGTGGTCTGTCCCTTACTTACCCCTGCCCAGCGTGGGGTCTTGCATAACCTACATAGATGCTCAGTAAACGCTAGGACTGGCCAGTTTTTAGGTTGAAAGACAGAGGAACCCTACAAGCAAAGGCACAGTGTTTTTTAATTTACACTTGGCTCCCAGCAGCTTTCAAATGAAAGGAGCCTCCTAATAGAAAGTCTTGTCTTTCTTTTCTTCTTTAGTTTTTGTTATAGGATGCATGTGCTTGGCAGAGAGAGAGGGGAAATAAGAAATCGCCCCCAGTGAGGATGGCCATGCCTCAATCCCTTCTCCTCCATTCTCTTGGGATTTGGGCCGCACATGTTCATACACATGTACCCAGTGTGATTTTCAAGCCACCACGTCAAGGACTTGAACCACACAGCTGGCCACGTGGGATCCAGTGCCTTAACTACCACACCACCTGCTGGCCCAAGAGGGCCTTTTGAATGATGGGCCTATTGGAACCTATCTGTGTAGTTTGTACCAGACCTGAGCACCCTGGCTAGAATGTTGGGGAGTGCTCTGAAGTACAGAGGGAAGACTTGATAAAGACATAAAAGCGGGGGAGAGAAAGACAACTGTATCCAAAGAAGGATTGAGCAGAATTTGAAATGAGAGTCCTTTGAGAATTCTTAAGTGTCTCTTGATACGGAATGCAAATTCGATTCAGAGTTATGTGCTGGGACTGCTAGAAGCCTTCCCCTTGCTGCCTCATTTTACTGTGGCAGTACCCCTGGGAGATGAGTTCCCTCTCCCCTGCTTTCCCAGCTGTGAAAACTGCAGCCATGGAGATAAGTCCTTCCTCCAAGGACATCTGGCCAGTGGCTCAGACAGACATGTGAACCAGTAGGTGCCTCCCATTGTTAGGGACGCTGTGTTTCGCTTTTCCTTCTTCAAGGATGCTGCTCTTCCTCAGGGCAGCTAAAGGAGCTCAGGCTTTACGCTTGGGCGCTAGCACCCCCTACTGGTCTGCCCAGACAGTTGGCTGCCCTGAGCTATGGGAAATGGAATGACAGCCAGGTGACCAGAATGAAAAGCCACAGAATGGGCCAAAGGAACAAAACAGGGCCGTGAGAAGCTTTGCAGCTGCCTTCCCCAGGAGTTGTGCCATTTGTCCTGGGAGTGGGGCATGGTGTCAGACTTGGCTCTCAGATAGGTTCTGATAGGCCTGCTTTTTCTTTTCTTTCTTTCTTTTTCTGGGGGGAGAGGATTTTGTTATAGGGTGTGTGCGCTCGCCAGAAAGACAGAGAAACAGAGAGACAGAAAGTGAGAAATCACCTCCCCAAGGGGGATGGGCACACTTCAATCCCTTCTCCTCCATTCTCCTCTCGGAATCTTGGGCACGCATGCACACGCACCCAATGTGAGTTTAAGCCGCCGGGGCCAGGACTCGAACTATGGTCGACTACATAGGAGTCCAGCAACACAGCCATTACGTTAACTGCTGGTCCCCCAGGCCTGCTTTTGAACCCAGCACCAGTGTTTATTAACTGGATGACCTTGGGCAGCTTCCTTCACCTCTCTGAGCCTGGTGTCTGCTATCTACAGAGAGCTTAGGTAACTTGTCCACGTGGCTACTAACCGAGAACAGCAGTTTGAGAAGGTGCTCTGGAAATGCTCCTTTAGCCTTTCTTGCTGGAGGCCTGCTCCAGCCGGGCTGGGTTGAAGCTCGTACACAGGAAGGCGACACGGGTGAACTAAAATCAGACTGAAATCTCAATGTTCTATAGCATGTTCTCAGCCGACTATAGTCAGAGCCAGCTCAAGACTGCAGCCCTGATGGCTAGGAGACATACGTATTTATTGAAGGAGTTTGACAGGAGTAGGATGGGTGAGGGGAAGTAGGTAAAAGATTTAAAGAAACAGGGTATACAAAGTATGGAAACAATAATCATAAAACATGATGCACTGTTCTGTTTGATCAGGTGAAGCCAAACACATTCCTTAGAACGAAGGAGTCCATTTTGTATGGTGCATTTTCTTCTTAGATCTTGATTACCAGGAAGGGTCTTTTGAAGAGGGGACTTGCAGGAGGCTTGATAACTTCAGTCCCAGGTCAACTCGATAACTTCAGTCCTGGGCCAAGGCAGCAGCATTGCTGGTTATAAGGGCCTAGATAGAAATCTTGTCTTGTTAAGTAAAGACATGGTTAATATATACTAAAGTGAAATATCTATATTGCTTCTGGGGTAATTTACAGCTATGGGGGTGAACCTATTGCCTACATGGGAAAGGAGTGTGGTCTTGTGAGCAGCTTAATGACTGACCTAAAGGTTACTGTGTACTTGGGACCCTCTACGTGCTGTTCTATACAATGGCTGTGGCTTGGAGAACGGCAATCTTCCCTTGTCCTGAAATCAAAGGTGACTCATGGTCTTTGTTTGGGGTATCAGTGCCTCCCAGATGAGTCCCTGAGCCTCCCCCAGCTACTGAGGTCGTTTCACCAATTTAGTAGCTTTCCATTAACTCAAACTTTTCACTGCTATCTATGTAATCCCCAGTAGGAGAGGTGAATGCAGCATTCTTTATTGACATTTTACAGGCAGGTGGAGTGAGTCTCAGGGGATATTCCCGTTCTCCCACGTTAAGGATCCGCATTCCTTCAGGATTATTGTAAAAGTTACAGTAAGGCTGGGGGTGTTATTTTGCCCTTATGGGGTACCGTCCATAAAGCTCATGGCAGAGAAATTGACTGCAGGCCAGTACAGCAAAGCACAGTTAGAAACTGGAGCATGTAAACTGTCAGCCTTGCTTCACAGTTCCTTCTCAGCCCAGCCTTGCTTAGACATGAGAGGCAGCTCCCCATGTTCTGCCTGTGTTAGCTGCATGGCCCCGTCACTTTCTGTCACCATCACCTACTGAACACCTGCTCGGTCTCAGGCCTGGGGGTGCACACGGGGAACAAGACTTGAGTTTGCCTCCTGTGCCACACGGGCTCTTCTCTGACCCCCCATTTTGCCATCCCTCCTGTCGACAGCCTGAGAACCTTCTCTGTTTTTAGGAACCCGTGTAATTAGATTGGGCTCGCCTGGATAATTCAGGCTGCCTTCTCTATCTCAAGGCTCTTAATATAATCACACCTACAAAGTCCCTTTTGCTACAGAAGGTAACATCACAGGGACTGGGGTGTGGATATTCTGGGGGTGAAGGACAAGTGGCATTCTTCCCACCTTGCCTGCCCTCTAGTCCCCAGAGATGCACGCATGTCCCAAATGCAAAATGTATTGACCCTGCCACAGGGCCCCCAGGGCCTCGTCTCATTACAGCATCAACTCAAAGTCCGTACCTCTCGAACACTCATCATCCCCAAAGCTGATCACGTCATCTCACTCATCCTCTCTGATAGGGGAAGTCCTGAGTCTGATTCCCCCTGTGCACAATTCCTTTCCACGTGGGCCCGTGAGACTCAGGAAACAAGCTGTCTGCTCTCAGAATACGAGAGGTGGCAACCCAGAGAGCTACCATCTAGTTCTGTTCTGATCCAAGGGACCAGAGATGTGCCATGGCCTGGAAAAACTAGGAAAGAACAAACAACAAGACTCTACACCCAGAAATGCCTAACCACTGAGCTTCCCTTCCTCCACGCCAGATAGGAAGGGGGCATCTCAGCAGGGTCTGTCACCACCTGACTTCAAGTCCTGTGAGAAGAGGGGACAGCAGGACCAGAGGTCTTCATCCCATGGGTGATGCTTACTTGAAAAAGTAGGCGTTGGACGCTGGCCCACTCCATGTACAGCCTTGCCACTTATTTTCTTTCTTTCTTTCTTTCTTTTTTTTAAGAGATTTTTGCTATAGGGTGTGCATGCCTGCCAGAGAGACAGAGAGGCAGAAAGTGAGAAATCACCCCCCAGGGGGGATGGCCACACCTCAGTTCCTTCTCCTCCATTCCCCTCTTGGGATTTTGGGCACTCACACATACACACACAGCATGAGTTTTAAGCCACCAGGTCTGGAACTCGAACCGCAGTTGACTACATGGGAGTCCAGCAATGTAACCATTACACCATCCGCCGATCGCCGATCCCAAGCTGTGCCACGTTTGCATTCGAAAACTTTCCCAGAGCACAGCCAATCCTGCGAGCAGGATTTGCGATCCTGAACGTGGCTGTTTCTAACCTCGAGCCTTGAGTTGGAGTCTGTGAGGGCGCAGGAACCTCAGTGTTCACAGCGCTCTCCAGGTGCTTCTTAGAATCAACCAGGATTCACAGCTGCAGGCCTGTAGCTCCCTGACCTGGTAAGTGCTGTGGAGGCCCCTCAGGCAGGGGCCCCAGAGTCCAGAGGGTGAGGGAAGGACTCAGGAGCCTGCAGGGCCACAACCAGTAGGGCCAGTCATCCCCAGCCTTCTGAGGAGGAGAAATGGAGGATGGAAGATGCCAGTATGGAGGAACTGGCCTCATCCTGCTCTCAGACCTCTTGGACCATCTCCCATGCTGAGCTACTACAGGTGTCACAAGGCAGTGACGTCAAAAGTGAGTCCGTTAAAAGAAAACTATTGGGGGGCCAGCAGGTGGCATGAGGTTAAGGCACTGGACTCCCAGATGACTGACCACAGTTCGAGTTCCCAACTTGGTGACTTGAAAATCATGCCGGGTGCATGCGCGTGCATGCCCAAACTCCTAAGAGGAGAATGGAGGAGAAGGGATCGTGGTGGGTGGCCATCCGCCCTGGGGGGTAATTTCTCACTTCCCTCTCACTGTCTCTGGCAAGCGCACATGCCCTATGGCAAAAACTTTTAAAAAAGAAAAAAAGAAAGGCTCTGGAAAGAAGCTGCTTCTAGGCTCACTTGGTGGTTGGCTGAATTCAGCCCCTTGTGATGGTCCGACTGAGGTGCCATTTCCTTGCCAGCCATAAACGGGGGGCTCCTCTCAGCTCCTCAGGGCCCTTCTATCTCATGCCAGAAATGTGCATAGACTGTCATGACTCCAATCTCTGCCCGTCTGCCCTCCAGGCCCGGATTTTAAGGACTCCTTAAGGCAGGTCAGCGCCCCCCCTCCCCCCCACACACACACCCACACACACACTTCCCTCATTTCAAGATCAACTGATTTGGGACTTGAACGACATCTGCAAAGTGCCTTCAGAGCAACACCAGGATTAGTGTTGGGTTGAATACCTGGGAGAAGGTGTGCCCCCAGGGCAGGGACTGTGTGGGTGAGGAGGTTACCCCACAGGGATCGGCCACATACATCAGTGTATGGGGTAAGGCAGGTTTTAGAGGCAGCAATCAGGGTTTTCAACTGCAGCTCCACGCCCACTCACCTGGCCACCGAGGCTCTGTCTCTCTTCTCCAGAACGGGAATGCAATGACCGCGTTAAACCCGTGGCAGTTCATCAGGTGTGTTGATGCCCTGGTTGTAACATTCTCCTTGCTGCTATTAGTCACCCACTCCCAGAGCTGCCCTGCCCACGGCGAGACCAGCTTTGTCTTGGGAGGTGTGGGCATGGTGGTTTCCCCGCTTTTCACGTACTCTGCCTTGCTGGCTGGTGGTATGGCCCTTTAAGGAGAGTGAGCTTGCTGGCTCAGGATCTTGGCCTGCCTCCCCAGTTTGGCAGGCTGGCCCAGACGGCTTGAGAAAGGAAAGGCAGCGGAGAAAAGTCTTTTTAGAAGTATATGTATGTAGTCAAGCGTATATCCAGTGCGAACAGAACATAATTGCATGTGCGGACAGGAGTCTCCACCAGCCCCAGGCGGGGCTGCTCCGTGGGCGGGAGGTAATTTCCCCCCTCCTCCCCCCTGCAGGGCTCAGGCAGACAGCGGAGACCTGGCTTTCTCATGGGGGTGGGCGTAGGCAGCGGGCCCTGAGCATCTTGTTTATTCCACAGTTATGGGCCTTTAGTACCAAATCTGCTTGAAAACCTTGTGAAATTGTTTATGGAGAAAGAAAAAATGAGGAATCTTGGGTAATGGGAAGCCAGCCAGCCAGTGTGGCCGAAGTTCCAACATGGGTGGTTTATAACTAATTGGAAAAACATGTCTCATCTCAGTCGGCTTCATCCTCTGCAGTGGCCGGGGTCTGTGATCCCAGGAGGTTTAAGGGGTGTAATCGGCTCCCAGGGTGGTCACAGTGACAAAAGGGGATGAAGCGCTGCCCGGGCTCACGGTTCCTGCAGGTGTGGCCAGCTCCATCTGGGGAGCAGGAGCCTGTCACCAGCCCTACTGGCTGGGGGTCTGCTGTGGCTTCAAATTCAGCCTTGAAACCAGAGGTTCTGGAAGCAGAGTTGCAGACCCAGACAGGAAGAGGTAACCGCCAGCATTTAAGTGCTCAGAGACAAGGAATCCCTGACACTGATTAAAAGCACAATCTGGGGTCCTTCCACCCTTTACAAGGTTGTTTGCAGAGAAACAGAAGTTGTTGGCCTCAGCTTTCTCTTCCTCACTGGGGTTCTCCGTAAGAGAATGTTCCCAGAGACAGACGATCTGGCTGAGCCTTGTTCCGTGCTGGTATCCTTAAGGGGGAACCTCTTGTCAGCAGAGGAAACTTGGCCGGCTGACCCATTGGCTCCTCTGGTCCAGGCTCTGCAAACAGACTGGCTGACTTGAGGCTCCCAAGTCAGAGGCTCCCACCTGTCCACATACTGGCCTTGCTGGCTAGTCTCAGTCCCTGGATTTCTCTGAGCTGCTGTGGTGTCACTTGTAAGATAGGGAGAATGACATGCCACCCCTCCCCAGGGTACTTTCAAGATGACAGGCAGTGCGTGGAACAGCCCTCCCCCTGCCGTGGACCACGAGGTGACGCTGCTATTAGAGTTATATGGGTTTGTGGTTTCCTCTCACTATTTCCACTTCCTTCCTGAAACCCCAAAAGAGGCTTCTTAGGAAAAGAAGGGCCTTTCAGATCCCTGAGCACAGCTGGGAATGGCCATCCCCAGTTAGCCAGCTGGTTGGAGCCTAGGGGACTGGGCTAGGCTGTGGGTCTAAACCACTGGGGCCACTGAGGCACAACTGGGCCACCACTGAGCATTGTTGGCTGTCCTGCAAATGTCACATTAGCTCATGCCTGGGGTTGCTCCAATATTGCTGAAAAGGGGTGCCAGACCTTGTCCCACTCAGGTCATGCCTCCTAATGGGGCCCTATAGTCACACTAAAGACAGAGCTGGGTCCTGTGCCTCCCAGAGATATTTAGCACAGAGCGTATAATAGGGCCCAGCCCTGTGGCCCCAGCCCCTCTGCTTACCATCAGTTACATGGTTCTGTGGACCGGACTCACTCTTGAAGTGGTGGGCTGCCAATCATTAAAGTGGTCGAGGGGCAGGCACCAAGCTGTGTAAGGCTCCTTCAGGAAATGGCTCCAGTATGGCTATTCTGGACCTAGGTGTGGGTCTCCCTGTTTAGAGGGGCCCCATGGCTAGCCAGACCCTTGTTTTATGGAAACCCCCATATACTTCAGCCACTGAGAACCTGTATTAAGTGGCTCTGAAGCAAGAATGGCTACTTAATTTGTGGGGCCAGCACAAAATGATAATGTAGACCCTCTCTCTTGAAAATTAAGATTCAAGATGGCGAAGGCTGAGCACAGCTGGAGAGAGTGAAGGTGGGTGGGGTCTGCAGCTGTGGACAAATTCAGCCATCTCTCCCATGGGTGGGATGATGTGGGTCTTTTCGAGGCTGTTGGCCCAAGGCTAATGAGATGAGTGGGGCTTGCTCAAGTCAAGGCCCAGAGGCCAGCCGAGTATGACATGCAGTGACAGCTGGTGGAGGTGGGGCTCCAGGCAGCATCTTGTCTCTAAAACGGGGTCCCTGAGTCTTGATCATCTTTCACAGGGTTCAGAGTAAAACCCAGAAGGTCAGGAAATGGCATTACAATTGTCACTATTCAAGTCAACACCGTTTTTTTTTTTAAATGTGTTAGCCTTGTGATTTTGGATCATGCATATTCTCTTGCTTCTATGAGAGGAAACCAGCCACACTGATGAGCCTCAGAAGCAGATCTGTCAGGCCAGGTGACCTTACTAACCTGGGGAAAAGATAAGCCACAACCCAGCAAGAATTTGCTCCTTGTTTGTTTTGCCTTTGACCTTCAACCCCATACATTCCTACAGACACTTTGCCCATGGCAAAACTTTGCAAAGACCTTAACTTCCCTCTTTTTTTTTTTTTAAGAGTTTTTTGCTATAGGATGTACTTGTAGGAGAGACAGAGAGACAGGAAGAGAGAAACCACCCCCCAAGGGCGATGACCACACTGCAATCCACTCTCCTCCCAGGATTTTGGGCATGCACACACACGTGCCCAGTGTGAGTTTTAAGTCTCCAGGTCTGAGACTTGAACCATGGTCAGCTGCGTGGGAGTCCAGCGATGTACCTATTACACCATCTGCTGGTCCAGAAGTTTCCTGTTTTAAGTGAGATTTCCAGATGAATTTATGTTGTCTGGAGAAGGGTAGTACCATGTACCTGAAGAGAATGGGTTAAAGGGTTGCCAAGGAAACTACTGTTTATAAAGTTTGACTTATGTTACTTATTGGTAAAAAAGAAAAATGAGGGGACCAGCAGTTGGCATAATGGCTATGTTGCTGGAGTTCCATGTAGTCAACCGCAGTTCGAGTCCCAGACCCAGTGGCTTAAACTCATGCCGGGTGCGTGTGCATGTGTGTCCAAGATCCTGAGAGGAGAATGGAGGAGAAGGGATTGTGGCATGGCCATCCCCCACCAGGGGGATGTCTCTCTGTCTCTCTCTTTCGTTCTAGCAAGCGTACGTGCCCTATAGCAAAAAACTCTCTAAAAAAAGAAAAGAAAAAGAAAAATGAGTGCCATTTTATTCTTTCTCCCAGATGGTGGACAGGAGGGGAAGCCTTACTGGGTGAAGTGAGACAGCACATGGGCACTGAGACAGAACAGGGGATTCTGGAGCTCCTCTCTTTACGTAGGACCCCTTTGTCATCTACCTGCCAGGCCCCACATTAAGAGAAATAAGCCTGGATGTGGTGGCATGTACCCTTAGTCCCTAGCTGGGAGCTGAGGCGGAGCATGGCCACAAGGGAGCTGCTGTCTCCCCCCCGCCCCCTCCCAAAAAAGCCAGTAATCTGATTGGGTGGGAACAGACAGAAGATTCTCCGGGTGGGTGGGACCAGAAGGCAGGAGTCTGCAAAAAACTGAAAGATGACCCTTTTGTATTTTTGAGGGGGAGAAAGATCTCTTTTAATTATGAAACCAAAATATCATTTGCAATACCTTCCTTTTCCTAATAGTCTTTTTTTTTTTTTTTTTGTAATTTCAGTCTTTCATTCCATGAGCCAGAGAGAGATACAGCACCCCTTGTTGACACATCGACCTATCCCCAACTTCAGCAAGCCTAGATAACGGGCCTGTGCTTCCTCAGGGAAGTCTCCAGATGTGAACCTGCAGCCTTCCCACTGGGTGTGCCTCGCAGAGTGTGTCACACCACTGCTCGGCCCCTCCTACTTGTCTTTTAAAAGAAATACAATTCACATACCATAAATGTACTGCTTTAAAATGTACACTTCAGGGGCCAGCAGTGGTGTAGTGGTTAAGGTGCTAGACTCCCACGTGGTCAACTGTGGTTCGAGTCCTGCACCTGGTGGCTTGAAATTCACACTGGGTGCATGTACATACATGCTCAAAATCCCGAAAGAAGAATGGAGGAGATGGAGGAGAAGGGATTGTGGCCTGGCCATTCCCCATGGGAGGTGATTTCTCACTTTCTGTCTCTCTGTCTCTCCAGTCAGCACACACCCCCTATAGCAAAAAAGCTCTCAATAAATAGATAAATAAATAAAAGAAAATGTACTCTTCACTGGTTTTAGTGTATTCACAAGTTTGTGCATCTGTCGCCACTGTCTAATTTAAAAAGCACAAAGTTGGCATTGATAAATGCTATGAAAAATAGAAGAAGCTGCCAAACTGTCTTCCAGAGTGGCCACACTACCTTTATGTACACAGTGGCTCTACGTCAGCCCCAACACCCCAGCCCTTGGCGTTGAATGTTACATCTTTTTAATGTTGACCCTCTAGATAAGCATGCATTTGAAGTGTTCCCTTAGCAGCCTGAAAGATTTCTTCATAGAGACTTATATGTGGGGCTTGCTGTCAAAAGGGGGGATATTTTCTTCTATTAAGTTTTCTGCTTGCTGTTTATGTTGCTACATTGCTGACCTGACCCCCCGAGTGAAATCTGCCTGCCTTGTTTTTCAGTTTCTTCTCTGGGATTTTCCAGAGTAAATATTATTATTTCACCTCATCTTTTCTCCTTAAATATCTAACTTTTTTCCCCTGCCTCCTTTCATTATCTAGGGTCTCTAAGATAATAGTGATAATAAAGGGCACTCCTTTGTTCCAGAATTTAATGGAACCTTTTGTTGCCTCTGGAGATACTGGGTTTTGGCTTGATGAGGTGTGTCCCTGTGATTTTATCCTTCTTAATAATGTGATAGAACTTTTGTAATTAGTAGTAAATTCATCAAATGTCTTTTCATCATCTGTGATGATCATGATGTTTCTCTTTTAAAATATTAATATAGGGGCCAGCAGGTGGCATGGTGATTAAGGTGCTAGATTCTCACATGGCTGACTGTGATTCAAGTTCTGGACCTGGCAGCTTGAAAAATCACACCAGGCACATATGCGTGCATGTCCAAAATCCCAGGAAGACAATGGAGAAGGGATTGCAGCGTGGCCATCCCCACTGGGGCGTGATTTCTTACTTTCACTCTCTGCCTCTCTCCAGTGAGCACATGCTCCCTATTACATCTAAATAAATAAATAAAATTTAATATGAATAAAATGAAAAGCTGTCTTAGTATTGAACCATCCTTGTCACATTACACAGGTCTCGCGGTTCTGGTGACATTTTTTAATGGCCAAGTGGGTTTTATTTGCTAATATTTTATTCTGGAATTTTT